CCCTTCCTCAGAACAGATGCTGCTAGACCTGCTGAGCTTTTCCAGCAAGTTCTGTTTGAGTCTCATTCTCTTACAAATACTCTCATGGAAAAATACTAGTTCTCACCCCCTTACACAATTCTCACTCCCTTACACGTACGTCAGTTATCATTTCCTTAGGCACTCATACAAACTCATTCTCACCTGCAAGAATTACATCCTCACCCGAATTTACGGGGACCATTGAGTCTAAAATGTTTACATTGGGCGGAGAAATGAAGCTTGACAAAGTTAAGAATTTATTTGCAGTGCTCTGTATTTAAGTGATAGAACTTCGCATCTTTTTCTCCTCAAACTTCAGAAATTTCAAAGAAGGCAAAACTACAACGTCAGCAACGACAAAACCTACATTTACACATATATAACAGTAAAGCTTTGATATGTATCTCTCACGTTCCAAGACAGAGTGCCACTAGCCGCAGGTGTGACGGTATATGACCTATAATATTGCACTCGCCCTGGCTACCACTGTACCACGACCACCCCCAGTTTACGCCAACACTCCACTCCATGGATTTATTTGATACGTGCGTTATAACGTTCTCTTTTAACATTTATCTGTGCAGGATGGAAGGGAGACCAGGATTATTGATGATGTCCCTTTGTTTTGTAAACATTTCCTTTTGATATTGCCCATCACAGGGAAATTACTGCTATGCATTAAAACAAGTAACTAAACATCTCTTAAGGTTTGAAGCCATCATTGAGCCGTATGCTCCCAATAGAAGGGCGAAATATGCCAAATTACACATGCTTATCAGACCTGTTATTAAGGGCTCTTATGGCAAAATGCTCTTGTTGAAAGGTAACACAAAAGGGCCTGGAAGCTGCATTTATGTCGAGCAAGCACCTCAACCAGGCAAATGGAGAGCGTTTAACTCATTATCTCCTCTGTGTACAGGAAGCCAAATCCCACACACTTACATTTATCAAACTTCAAAGGAAATCATTACTGAAAAGTACAATCTCTCTCCCGCCAACTACATGTGCCTTGTCCCTCTGATCTTAACAATTAAAAATGTCTTTAAACAATTTAGATGTCTCAAATGCTTCATGTTGTTGACGAGGAGAAGCCAGCAGATTTGACTGGTCTGTAACTTATATCTGTTCCTTCCTTATTAGATCATCCACATTGTCTCAGAATCGTGTGGTTAAAAAAATAATAATCCATAAACATATAGATGATAATGGAATAGTTTAGGTTAGATGGGCTTCAGATTGGTTTCACAGGTCGGCGCAACATCGAGGGCCGAAGGGCCTGTACTGCGCTGTAATGTTCTATGTTAACAGAGAAGTGCTTTTAGAAACTATGTTCGCAGTTATTCACTGCTAGGTAAGCTTAATTTATTGTGTCTGTCCCTCCCATGCATTGGCTTGCAGCTATCCTTTAGCAGCTTTGGTACAGAGATATGACTGAAAGGGTTGAATTGGATCCTGAGACTAACCCGAAACTGATAAGTCGAGTTCTGGAAAAATTACAGGCCAGGATGGAGAGAGCGAAAGCCTGTGCGGCTTCTTAATATCATCATATGGCTTTGCCAGAAAAGGAGTGAAACGCGATCATTTTTTTTAAAGTCACGTCGCAAACATCTAGCGGTCTTCACATGAATGTCTTGGAAGCGCCGTCGCTGTCGTTCGCTAAGCAAATGCACCATTCATCTTGTACTGAGCAAATTTTTCAGAAATATATTAAAGTCTGGCAGTTGCTTTTGATGGTGTCAATAAAGGGAGGGGTATTGGTTGAAATAATTCTCTGCTCAAAAATAACGCAGTGGCATCTCTCAAAGCCGACCTGAAGGACAAATCGGTTCTCAGTGTAATGTCTCATCTGACATACGGTAACTCCCATAGTGCAGCAGCTTTTCAGAACAGCATTGAAGTGCAAGGCTAGTCTATAGCTCCAAATCGTTAGGCCCACGCTGCTCTGACTCGTAAACATGAACGCTACCGCTTGAAGCAAGTTAACTCAATTAAGTGAATACTTTTAATCAACCTGTTCTGGCACAGGTCTGCGGCAGTTGGAACTTGAACTCGGGCCTTCTAAGCTAGAAATAGGAAAGCTACCACTGTGCCACAAGATCACGAACACAACTACATTTCGCTTAAGTGCTAGGCATAGAATTTGAATATTCATCCACAGCCCGCAGGCCAGCTGTTGAAATTTAAACGTAATTGTTAAATGTGGGATATAAAGTTGGTTTCAGTGATGGTGTCTGAAAACTACCACTTATTGTTGGAAGAACCCATCTGGTTTACTTTTCTGCTTTGGGACCCTGCAGCGTTCTGGACTCAATATTGAGTTCACCAACTTCAGGGCCTGAGCTCTCCCATGTCCTTACTCCAACCCCCACACACCAGGCCTTGTTATCACAACCCATTGTTAGTATCTAACAGTCTCCATTAACTATTCACCCTCTTAGCCAGATCGTTGTCCATTCTTTTGTCTGTCCAACTGTTGGTCACTCTCTTTCTGCTCTATCCCCACCAATAGTTTACTCCATACTCCTCCACCACCCTATCTTCTGCATAAAACCCGACATATCCCTAGCTACCATCAGTTCTGAGGAAGGACTGGAGAAGTTAACTCTGATTTCTCTCCACAGATGCTGCCAGACCGACTGAACTTTTCCAGCAATTTTTGTTTTGGTTCACTAAATGCCTTTAAGAAGGGAAATCCATGATCCTTACTCTGTCCAGACATTCTAGCAGGTTAACTCTAACCTGGCCCTGTAAAGCCTCCCTGTTGGAGTGCAATTATGGATGAGCAAAAATCCTGGTCTTTTAAGTGACACCCACATCCAATGAAATAATTTAAACAACCTTACATTTATATAGCACTTCAAACTTAGTAAATCCACATACGATAGTTCACAAGAATGATTATCGAGTACAGTTTGACATCAAACCACAATAAGAAACAATAGAACAGACGATGTTGATTTCAGGACTATCGAAAAGAGGGGAGAGGAAGATGGGGAATTCTTGATTTTAAGGCCAAAGCAGCTGAAGACATCGCATATCATCCATGGTAATGTGAATAAAATTGGGCCTGTGCAAAGGCCAGAATTGGCCAGTGTAGAGAGAATTGCAGGGCTGAGGAGCTTACTGTGCTGGAGAGATGAAAGTCATGATGGGATATGAAAACAAGGGTGAGAATTTTAATATTGAGAAATTGCTCAATTGGGAGCCAACATGGGCTATTTGTTACAGGGATAATGGATGGTTGCAACTTGATAGAAGTTATGAGTTTCAGAGATTTGGATGAATTCATAATTTACGGACAATGCAGGTGGGGTTTGAGGACACCATTGGAATAGTCAAGTTTAGGGGTAACAAAGGCATGGATTATGGTTTCAGCAACATGAGCTGAGGCAGGTCTTGAGGCATATGATGATGCAGAAGATGAAGTATGTGGTCTTAGATGCTGGAAAGCATCTAAGATTGAAAGCTCCTTTCAGGGTCAACTAGGGTGCTAAATTTGTGAATAATTTCACCTCACTGTCAATAGTGCTCAGGGAGGGAGATGAGGAAGGAGAACTTACTGATGTTGCAATTACAAAGGATGTAATTGATGACTTTGATAAGGGCTATGTCAGTGCTTTGGCAGGGCTGGAGCCTGACTGAAGGGTTTTTAAAGTGAAATTGCAGGAAAAATGTACAGATTTGGGAGATAACAACATATTCAAAGATGTTGGAGTGGAAAGGAAAGCTGCAAATGCAATGGTAGTTTGCAAAGATAGAATGTTAAAGAGTGCTGTTTTGAAGACAGATGTAATGATGGCACAATTCATGGGAGGTGTCAGTACTGGAAGAGAGAGAATGCTAAAAATATTAATTAACAGAGCATCTCGCTTGTATAGAAGACATTTCCTCTTTAAACACGTATGCCACCATTTTGTATTTTAAAAACACATTTAAAATAAATTAATTTATTTGTGTTTGCTTTGTACTTAATTCAAAAATAGAAGCAGTCACTTGGAGATTTCTCAATTCTTCATTAAGAATCAAACCTTATTTCAATGAAACAACAACGTTTTAATGAGAAATTTCCTGTAATACACCTAAGCTGGAGTGATATTTAAGTTCATTTCTGAGTTCATACAAATAAATGAAATCAGGACTCAGTGTGTTGCTTCCTACTCTTGCTCATTCATTTCTAAGATCCAAACACTGTGGAATTCAAGACAACAAGGTGCAGGGCTGGGTGAACACAGCAGGCCAAGCAGCATCGTAGGAGCAGAGAGGCTGATGTTTCGGGCCTAGACCCTTCATCAGAAAAGGGGGAGGGGAAGGGGGTTCTGAAATAAATAGGGAGAGAGTGGGAGGCGGATAGAAGAGGGATAGAGGAGAGGATAGGTGGAGAGGAAACAAACAGGTCGAAGAGGCGGGGATGGAGCCAGTAAAGGTGAGTGTAGGTAGGGAGTTAGGAAGGGGATAGGTCAGTCCAGGGAGGAC